TTGTTCCCTATTCTAATTTCCTCAATTTAACTTAGCTAAATTAACTAAGTTGGGAAGAGGTTTATTAAATGAATGATTTAAAAAATATAATATAAAAATTATTTATTTAAAAAAATGTAGAATGTTCTCAACAATTAGTGTTATACAATCAAATAAATCCTTATGTTTTAAAGTTTGGTATGGTTACATTTAGGATGTAAAATTAAGGAGTCTTCAATTAGCAGTATTGACCTCCTAAGATTGGATCTTCTTGGTCGTTAAGATTTTTATTACCGCACGTAACCACTGAGAACTATGATAATTTTGGAAACTGTATCTAACACTTGCTATGACGAATTCCGTGTGTTTAATTTGGGACTGCCTTCGTAGTAAAAGGTCTCCCTTTATATAGGTATATTTTCCAATGTATTTCTCGCGGCGGTACCAGCTCGCCTCTTTGGGTTAGATTCAAGATCGGTACCTCACAGACATGCAAAGTGTTTATTGCTTTTTTTCTATGAGTTGGTGACTCCGTATGTTGATTTCCTTATTTTCATAACACATAATTATTTTATTTATTATACATTTAATATTTATAAACAATTGACTTACTCTCAAATATTCGTTTTATTTATAAATAATTGTTTATTTACAAATATTTGTTTATTTAAAAACAATTATTTATTTACAAATGTATTTAAAAAAATCAATTTTACATAAATATTATAAAAAAATGTTAAGGTGACGTGACATAATTATTAAAAAAATTATTTTTTTAAAAAAAATATCGATTCTTACTTATAAAACGTTATTCCACTTCCTCCCTCACGAAGCACAGTAGAAATACAATAAAACCAATTTATTTGCACATAAAATGGACAATTTCACAAATAAATTAAAAAAACACTTGACAACAGAAAACCACGATCGATCGAGATCAATTTCGGCTGATCACAGCGAATACACTGATTCAGTGTCACTAACCACCTGACTTGAGCGCCACAATTTGTACTTATACTACAATCCAACATGGGCGCTATATCTCAAGTTCCTCAAATAGCGCTGCCTATGCAGAGGTATATAAAGATCAGTATATTGATCCGATAAGTCAAAAAATTACAAATTAAATATTAAACCAAAGACACAATGTTCTAAGACACTTTGGAACGTTCTAAAGTCATTCTAAAGATGTCTTGTGATGCCCACTGGGTTAGATCGGAACACCTCGAAGTAATTAAAGATACCAATGACTTTGTTACTAATTTTAAAAAATTAGGCCAAATGAAAATTAGATTGGATTAAGATTAGTCCAAATAAGAATTAGATAACATAAATATTGGAGCAAATGGATATTAGGTTTACTGATGATTAGGCCAAAGGAGGATTATATTAAATAAATATTTAAGCAAATAAAAATTATGTCAAGGAACATCTCAAAGAAATTAAAAATGCGAATGAGTTTGTTACTACAGTTCAAAAATTAGGACAATTGAAGATTAGATTAAGATTAGGCCAAACAAGGATTAATTTAAAATTAGTTGAAATAAAGATTGTGCCGCATGAAGAATTAGGGAATTTAGTTAAATAAAGATTTAGATACACAAGCATTAGGTTATAGAAGAATTATGCCAATTAGTTCAGATACCAATTATGCTAAATAAAAATTAGATTACAGAAATATTGAAGCAAAGGGAAATTAGGTTTACTGATGATGATTAGGCCAAAGAACAATTATAGTAAATAAATATTACGTCAAATACAGATTAGATTAGATTAATTAAAAATTAGGACATAATTATGACAATTGTAAAATTTGTATTGCAATTAATTTTGTTGGTTTTTATTTTAGTTATCTATATATAAATATAATCGCGAAAAGTTTTGCGGTGAGCAATTTTGTAACTTGTGGTTGACCTATTTGGAATTGTACACGTGGTTTACTTGCCCTATTACATACTTTATAACAGAAGGAGAAGTAGACCCAATGAAAGTATAGGATTGTGTGCAATAAATTTGACGGTTGAAAGAGTATACTTGGTTTTATTGAGGCCATTAAATGGACCTTAAGTGTATGTTTCGTCTGATAAGATATATATAGAGAGAGAGAGATATAGAGAAAGAGAGCTCTGGGGCAAAAGAATGCCAAGCCCAGCTTTAATACTGAAGCCGATTATGTAAAACACGAATTCTCCTCGCTTTATTTATTTAAAATACAATTCTATCGATGGAACAAGAGTTTTTTTTGTAATTAGAGAAGATACACTAGTTTTTTTTTTTTTTTTGAAACAGCTTGTAGAGTTGATATACTTAACGAGAACAGGTGTATGACGGGACACTGGTCGAAAAATGTAGTGGTTGAAATGGGATGAGGAGTGTGAGAAAAACGGGTGTAAAATATAGGAAAGGATGGGACGAAAGCGCCAACGTGTATCCATTTCTTTACGGGTAAATGGATTAGTTACTCGCGAAAAGAAAACTAAAAAAAAAAAAAGAAAGAAAAAAAAACCAAAAGAACACCGAAGGCTTGGAAGGGAAAAAATAAAGGAAAAAGGCGGATCAGCGAAACGTGCCAGACCTAGCTTAGCTCAACGATTATTTTCTAGCAGTAGATAAAGGAATGTCTCTTTCAGTCTAAAACGATAGATTTTCTCATCTGATCCTAAAGTGCACTCGAATTTTTCTTAAATTATTATTAAAAGATGTCAATTTTGATTTAGTTTCAGTAGAATTTCTTATTCCTTATCTAAATAATCTCAGCGTAGTTGATGATGTTCAATTAACGACATTATTATAAAATTTGGGTTTTTTTTTCGTCAAAAATATTAAAAATAGGAAAAGTTTAGCTTCTCATATGACTAGAAAGATAATACTATAATATATTAGAAGATTTTTTCTTCAAAAAAAAAGATAACCCATTGAATAAATTGCGGCTTTATTTCGTCACTTCATCTAGATGATTTTTTTTTCTTCCACAAATCCTTTTGTGGTGAATTTTTCTTGATCTTTTACGTGACCTTTAAAAATATCGCGATTACATATATCAGTGTGGTTAAAATACCCGTGGGGTATAGGTTAAGAGTGTACCTGTTTAAAACGCTTTTACACTGCATCGCCAGAGCTGGCGTGTGGCCTCTCTATCCTCCTCGACAAATAGCTTCCGGCATTTTGAGCGAATTACTTCGGAAATGGAAATATGTTTTTTGTATGAGACATCTATGAATTCTGAATTACACTTCAAAAAGAAGCACCGAAATACTTGCTCCAATTCTATACGCACAAAAATCACCCCCTGTGAATCGTGAATAAAAATTGTTTAGCAATCTGAAGAGTTGATAAAATTTTATTTTGTATATGAGGCAAAATTCCTGAAATGTCCGAACAAAAAATTAAAAGTTCTCGAATTTAATCCATACTTTTCTAAAATGTTGTTATTGTTGGTGAAAGTCTAAAAATCAATTATTATTGAATTTAATAAAATAGTTTTTGAATTACAACGTTCTTAATTTTTGACTTTTGAAAAAAAAATTTTTTTTCAATGTACAATATTTATAAGTAGAATGCATAAAAGTTAACATATATATAATGATTTTTAAAGCTTTTTTGACGAGCTACACGCTGTTAATAAAAATTTTTTTTTTTAAATAACATTTGACCTTGAAATTCAAGGTCAAAATGTTAATTTACGTTTATCTCAAAATCGGATTTTTGAAAATTATTTTTAACTATCTCAATGGAAAGCTTGACTAATTTCCTACAAAACATGTAATTTTCAGAGTGGGATCTTTTAAAGTTTTTGAGATATTAATTAATTAATTAATTAATGTTTATAACAAATGAAATATTTTACAAACGAATAAAGTTACCGTAATTCTGAAGTTAGTAATTGAAAGTTAAAGTAATTCCGCATCCAACGAGCCCTATATGAAGTATTTTGGATAAGTAGATTGTTAATAAACAATTAGTTAACATTGCAATTGTTTATAACCAATCTACTTATCCAAAATACTTCATATAGGGCTCGTTGGATGCGGAATTAGCTTAACTTTCAATTGGTTAGTTTAGATTTATGATAACTTTATTTGTTTGTAAGATATTTCATTTTTTATTGTTATTTAACTAAAATTGAACAAAAATACTTCATATAGGGCTTTTGGATGCTTGTTGTTAGTAAAAAATAAAATATTTTACAAACAAATAAAGTTATGGTAATTCTGAACTTACCAATTGAAAGTTAAGGTAATTCCACATCCAACGAGCCCTATATGAAGTATTTTGTATAAGTAGATTGTTAATAAACAATTGCAATGTTAACTAATTGTTTATTAACAATCTACTTATCCAAAATACTTCATATAGGGCTCGTTGGATGCGGAATTACGTTAACTTTCAAATACTAACTTCAGAATTACGGTAACTTTATTCGTTTGTAAAATATTTCATTTCTTATAAACATTAATTAATTAATTAATTAATATCTCAAAAACTTTAAAAGATCCCACTCTGAAAATTACATGTTTTGTAGGAAATTAGTCAAGCTTTCCATTGAGATAGTTAAAAATAATTTTAAAAAATCCGATTTTGAGATAAACGTAAATTAACATTTTGACCTTGAATTTCAAGGTCAAATGTTATTTAAAAAAAAAAATTTTTATTAACAGCGTGTAGCTCGTCAAAAAAGCTTTAAAAATCATTATATATATGTTAACTTTTATGCATTCTACTTATAAATATTGTACATTGAAAAAAATTTTTTTTTTCAAAAGTCAAAAATAAAAAACGTTGTAATTCAAAAACTATTTTATTAAATTCAATAATAATTGATTTTTAGACTTTTACCAACAATAACAACATTTTAGAAAAGTATGGATTAAATTCGAGAACTTTTAATTTTTTGTTCGGACATTTCAGGAATTTTGCCTCATATATATATATATATTATATTAGATAGTATTTGGGGGTTTAAAATTAAGTTTACTTACTTTATTATAACAATTAGAAATTATTTTTTTTGTTATTTCCAGGAGCACTATTCACTCATGACCAAAGAAACAGCAGCACCGAGCTGGCCTTCAAATACGCTGTTTACAAAATCAACAAAGAAAAAATTATTCTACCAAAAACAACTTTAGTCTACGATATTCAATACGTTCCCAAAGATGACTCTTTTCACGCATCGAAAAAAGGTAAGAGTTGATATCTTGACAAACAAAATATTTTTTACTAAAACGAATTTTTAGATTCCATAGATTTTATTTTCTACGATATTTGTTTTTAAACGCAAAAAAAATGTTTATTTAAACCAAAACTAAATTAGAAGTAAAATAATAATTATTTCAGAAGTTTTTTTTTTCTTTTTAATTGAGGCGTGCAGAATAATTTTACTGGAACAATCTATCTAAATGCATAAAAACTAATTATGTAAACTAGAAATTCGAAAGGTTTGCACTTTATTGTTATTATAAAAGATAAAAGATTTTTAAGACATATACTTAAAAGACAAGTAGCTCTGTCAAGATTATTATCTGAGCTCACAAGTGTATTGAACTTGTTTCGGCAGACTATAGTATAACAAAGCCATAAGAATAGAAAATTTATTGCCCTGTCTCTTTATGACCAAAGAAAAATAATGGATTGCATTCCATCGTAATCGTTACGAGAATAGCAAACACATTATTATTTTGTACATATACATATATATATTATGGCTTACTTTTATAACATTAGTCAGAAACGTATTATCCGTTTCTTAAGAGTACATCAAAAGTAGCCTCAAAATTTCCATTGACAAAATTATTTTTCTCTAATTACTGAAAAAAATACGATTCAAAATTATCCTAAATCATTTAATTTTGATCAAATTTAAAAAAAATTCATTTGACGTTTTGGAACCGCCATTTTGAAATTTGAAAATTCGTTATCAGATTCGTAACTCCAAAAATCTCTTTGAGTAGCGAATCCAATCAATTTTTTTAAAATTCTCTATGAGGAATCAAAATCATAAAAATCAGGAAGAACTAAATTACATTTAAATTAGTTGTCAGAGGAATTTTATTAAAAACCGTCACGTTTTACGAAATTGTGTACGTATAGAGATTTATATATATATATATATATATAAATCCATAAATTTTTCAAGACAAAAAAAATATAGCGCGTTATTTATACATTTTGGTTTTTGTATATATACGAAATGCATATCGACTTATGCGGTAGAGCAAACTGACATTATTTCCTTCAATTTCAATGCATTTTAACTATGTTAAAAATCAATATTCCAGATACGCAAAAAAAGAAGTGACTGCGTACAGTCTCCAATATTTTAAATCGGAGGATACATTCAATCATGAATTTTCTGAAATCCATAGATTTAAATGGTGAACTGCATCGTGGGATATTGATTTTCTTCAATCGTAGACACGATGCGTTTCGTAAATCTCCGATGAAATTCAATACCAAATAATCCAAATCTTTCACTGTGATATGCGTCTCTCAATTTAAAAAAAAAGAGAAAAAAAATTTTAAAAAAAACCTGTGAAAACTCAAGCTAAATACATTTTGGTCGTGATAAAGTCTGAATTTCACGTGAGTTGATATTTTACGATAAAATCTTTTATTCTTTGCAAAATTTTACTTGATAAATAAAAATATTTAAAAAATGAAAAAAATTAATTAAGTATTAAATTAAATACAACAATTATTTATCAAATCAATTAACAGAACTCATTAATATTATTAAAATATAAATTATAAATATAACTAATCCCAACGTAAAAGGATGTTTATTGTGTGTTTTAGAAAGCTCCCCCTACAGCACTGAAAATTTAGTAAATATTTACTAATACTTTAGGAGGCTGAAATTTAACGTTTTTTTGCTATTTTTTCATGGAAGGAGAAATAGTAAGATAATTAAATTGAAGGATATTGTTAGGCATATTTTTATGTTTGTAAAAATATTTTTTTTTATCTTAAAAAGTTACAAAATGGCGGAGTAACGGTCGTTCTTCGAAAATGGTTTTTATTGGAGGGGCTCAACTGCACGCAGCATAGAGGTTGCTAAAGTTAATCTGTAACAAAATAAAATTTTTTTTCTTAATTTACATTAGAATAGCTACAGAAATACAAGTCGATTTTTCGACCAAAAAATCGGTACTTTTTCGTCCCTAAAAAATAGTAATTTTATCATATCGAAAATCTGCCATCATATTTCTGTGAGAAATGTTGTTTTAAAGATATGAGAAAAATTTGTATTAAAGAAAATGAAAATTGATTGAGTTATACTGCGTGCAGATTTGAAAAATCGTGTTTCGAGAAAAAAGGGTTTAAATTTTTTACATGTGTTTAATGCATGAAAAAATAATTTTACCATTAGTCTGCTATTCCAGGACCAAATAGTTGACCTTCTAATGACATCTTTTAGTGATTTAGAAAAGTTCAAAGTTTAATTCAAAAGTATTATGAGGATCCAACGAGCAGGTAACAACTTACTGCAGGTTTGGAGCAGCTGACACGGCTTGGGAAGGAATGCGAAATTTTAGGGAAAACATTTTTCGATCGATATAAAATCTTTTGTCTCTTATTCTAGAAGGTTCAAAGAATTTTTTAAGAGAAAAAAAATTTCGATTTTTTGAAAATTCTACAGTGATGTAATCCCTTAAGTTAAAAGTGTTCATTTATTTAAAATTAATTGCTTAAGTCTAATTTAAGTTCCTTGTGTTTCATTGAATTCCAAATATTTTCATCTGTATATATATCCACCTTTTTTATAATTGAATTCAAATTGATGTGTTACTTTAATTTAAGAAGGAATTATGTTTGAGTCAACAATCCTTAAATCTACATGACAAAAACATGCCTCTGAAGCAAGAATAAAAGTGTAAACACCAGGAATGATAAATTGTTGTATACAAAATGAAGAATTTAAATGTGCGGCTTACTGTTTTAGGGTTTAGATGAAAACTTGTAAACAGGATCCAAGCGTCTGGTAATCCTGAGTCTTGGGGGGAAAAAGCAAATAACAAGGCTTCACCCTTAATATAGGTTGCAGCTTCTAGATGAACAGATAAAAAACAGATTCCAAAAACCGGGTAGACGGTTTTTGGTGCAGATATGGAATCAGAATCCTGGTTAATAGTACTAGTTGGATAACTAGAAACGTCTTAGTCGAAAGAAGATAAATTTTTGGCAAAGTAATTGACAAATATAGGAGTTGACTAATGGATGATTATTATTATTGATCAGTGGTTCTGACGATACTGATGCGGCGTTTCAAGACTGTTGATCAGTTCTTATTATTCATTGTAACAGGAAATATTATTTTAAAATATTAAACAAAACTTTTCCTATACTCGGTTAAAATTAGAAGACTGGGGTAAATTTTGTTAAGGGTTGGTGAATCTTTTCAAGGCAACGGAGCATGTGCGACGATTTTCGCCGATAGGACGCACGTTCGATGAAAAAATCATTCCTGGATCAACCATTGTAAAGAGTGTCGACTATCGATAAATAGCCAAGCAAAATAGCAACTTTTATAAAAATTATTGATTTTATTAATCCTTGACCTCGCACTGTAATTAACACGACCACTTGAGAGAATTTTCTTGTAATTTAACTCTGGCAAAAATTCTCTTTTCATCATTAACATTATCATTTCGTTATTTATAGCAACTTGGCTACGGAAGTATAACCACAAATTTTCAAATATAAAAATTCACTGCAACAATTCTCTTCATCGTTTCATATCTAATCAAATGCTCCTTTTGGCACGGATTCTAAAGATTATGCAAACTTGTGAAGTAAGTACATTGTAAGGGAACATTTTGATGATACACAAATGTAATAGTATATATATATAAATGTTTCTCATAACCTCAGTTTAGTAAAATGGCAAAAAATTCACACCAAATGTATAGTAGTAGTGCCTCTGGCGAACAGCCCGTCTATTTCGTATAAAAGCGTTATCAGGTTGAAGCCACGCTTTTTAGATTTTATGGTAATACATATATAGGTATATATATATATATGTACGTGCAAAACGCGGTTATCTGACTTCCGGCTTTTCACGCGCCGATATCATGCGAGGAGTAGTGTGGAGGATGAGGGTGGTTGTTACAATTTTCTGATGGGTCGCTGTGCGCGAGACAGAGAAGAGGCAAGGCCGAGAAATCTCTGGCAAAAAACTCTCTCTCACAAACGGAAACATTGTAGGAACCGAAAACGAGAAACGTTATTACCTCTAGCTCGTTGTAATATTCTCCTCTCTTCCAACGAGCATGAAACTCGACGTCTGGCAATTCCTCCCAACGTTTATAAGACATCTCGTTGGTGGGCTTGCAACGTGTCCTTGAATGCAAATGAGATATCTCTGCTTTGAAAAAGAAAAAAAAGAAAACATCCTCCAGCAATTGAGAAAGTGAGCGCGCGATTGGAATTTCATTCATTAAAACCAGTTATTCATTAAGACCTTATAGTAGTTGAGAGGAAGACATTCAAAATTAACATGGAAATTCTTAATTTTGTCAGACTTACAATTAGAAAGTTCACATCATTTTTGGAATTTCTCTATAGACGACAATTCGTTTTCCTTTAAGTGTTATGTTGTAATTTTTATTTAAATTATAAAACTTATTAGTGCGATTTTGGAATTATCTTTATACCTGCATCCACGAGGTGTTTGTTTACATTGAAGTACAAACACTGTCTTAGGTTGAAGGTCGTAGCAATATAATTGGAAAATCCTAAAGATAATTCAATCAGTTGCAATTCGTGTATTGACCTGTTTAGACGCATAGTTAACTAAAGTGTAAATTTTTAGTGTTTTTATTTTAAAAATTTTAAATTTTTAAGAAAACAGTATAAATTTTTATATTTTTTGAAATCTTAGGAACAACTTTTCAAAACAAGATAAATTAAGAGACTACTAAAAAATTGAGACAAAATCATGGAGAGGGTTTCAAGTTTTAAAGGTTTTCTCGAGCTATAAATTTTTTAAAATGATAGTAGGGAAAAGTACGTCCCTTCTTCATAGGAAAAATGGAATCTCCCTTTGCCTCAACTTACATTATCCAAAGAAAATATTACATCTCCGTCTTTTTAAATTTTGGTTACTCTACTTTCATGGGTTTTACAAACGTTTTATTTACCTTTCAATCAAGCCAACACCACTACAATTAAAAATTTTTAAAAA